ACGAAAAAGGTTGTCTCATGATTTGACCACTGTCTTCAAATGAACAACAAAACATAAATTATATTGCTTTCATTGAAGTACTGATCATGGTGATGACAATGACAGCTTTATTCTCTGCATGGTTGTCTACACAATGTACAGAATTCTCAATCTAGTTTATTACATAACACGCTCCCTTCATTCAAGTCTTTCAAATAGAATCAGGATCTCTGATACATTATGTGACACATTGATATTTCTTTTAGAATCCCAGACTAACTAATCCCTTATATCTTCACGTCTTCTCGGAAAAACTCCCACCGAAAATTTCAAAGCCAATGAGAAATGTGAGTGAATACGCTTCACAATTCAAGGACATAATTGAATACGTTAAACAATCAGAATAAGAGAAAATATTATCCCATGATAACGGATGGAAACTAAAGTAGTCCAGATGATTCATTAAGGCTGACGTCGAAAAATCATGTATATACGATCCAGTACAAAGAAATCCAAATTCAGGAAATCTTTGAATGCTACTTTAACAATCAAAGCAACTAGTCTTATTTGCTGATTGAATGATGTGTGTCCAATGTGTGCATTTCTGGTGTAAAGTGTTTTCACTGATGGGAAAATAGAATGTTTCCACCAGATGATAAGAAGTGCCTCGATGTTAAGCATGATTTCTAGTTCCCGAGATCTGGATATCATTCGGCAGTTGATATATGATCAATGTGTGGAGTATTCATTGAAGAATAGAAATTAACTTTGAGCTAGAGAAATGCCAGTGCTATTTACTTAGCAGTGGAATCCATGTGTCTATGAGAAGTTGTAATTCCCAGTGACATCGCCTTTTTTCCAAAGAGAGATGCATCCCATTCTTCTTTTTGCCTGTCTTCTGTGTGACAATAGTATTCCAGTGATAAATCATATATGCCATTGCTTTGACATATGTGATAATAGAACTAAACCACAGACACACATCCAGTAAATCAGAGTTATAAAATTAAATACTAATTCTGATACTGTGTTATGATTTCACCTGAACAGTTCAGTGTCTCTGCATTAAGTTCACCTATCATGACTGTATTTCATTTCCATTATAAATGTGGATTTATTGCCATTCATATATAAGAAGAGTTTAGCACTTGTCTTCTGCGCTGGTCGCCATCCTGATCAAAATGTTCTTCTTGGATTTTTCTTGAATAGTCGGTGTCAAGTCAATGCTTTCATATGGTCCAGAGACTCAAAGCGTCACAAAAATCATTCTCAGAAGGCCTCGAACGTTGATGAAAACAGCTCCCTTGCCTCCACACTGGAGATTAGATGGCTAAAAGAGATTCGCAAGAGGAAATTATACGGTGCATGGAAATAACCAACAACACATTGCCTAACGAATACACAGCCGTTTGTGGAGATGCACCGGAAATTCATTAAGTAGAGATTTGTGTGTGATCTGAATGGGAAACGACGAGTTGGGCGTCGGCCTGTTGGTGATATGAAGGATGTCTTGTGAAGAGGAAATGAAGTCTTATGGGTGATTGTACAGCCAGTTGAAGGTAACTACAGAAGACGGAATGAATTTCAGGTGTGATGCTGAAGCCACACGTTCCACTGAGAACCAAAGGAAGAGTAACAAATAGTTAATAAGTATGATCTTTTTAGGAAGGGTAATCACGGTTACCTAAATATATCAGTTTATCATTCAATTAGCAGAAATCGCCATTCATTTACAGCCACAACTTATCCGCAAATATTTGATCGTGTGTTTGAAGATAGTCAGCTAATCATATTTGAAGGTTCTGTATCAGTATAAGTCGTTTAACGCATACACCTACACCAAAGTCAACAGGTGGACATCTCTACTCTTTACTTAAATAAACAAGATAGAAGTGATTTGAGAATTTATTCTGCCTAAATTTACAGGAAGATTTACTTAATTTTGTCGGATTGCATATGGTTTAATGTATTGTATTGCACATTGAAATATCATAGAATTGTAGGCATTTCCATCAAATACAGAGTACAAGTATTTGTTTGTAGGGAATCGATTGATTGGTTACAGGATTTCATCATGAGCTGACATTGGTTAGAGAATCATCGGAAAACCTGGAATTACGGGAAAGCTGTTTAGTCCTAGTTTGGAACTTTTAGTAGTACGCACCCACCAGGGTTCGAACCCAGGACCTTTCGGTTACAGGGCAAGTGAACTCGTAGACGATTTAGTAACTGGGACACGATCCAATGTTATTTGAATTGAAACATCTGCCAATTCATGACATAACGTGATCATTAGTAAATGTCTTCCGCTATTATTTGTTCTCACACCCGTCCTGCTGCAGTTAGAATTCATGGGACATTGTATTGAGTCCCAGTGGCTTGATTATCTACGAGCTCGCTCGCTCGCCTTGTTACCAGAAGGTCCTGGGTTTGAACCTTAGCTGTGGGTGCGTACTGATGAAGAGTCCCAAGCTAGGTCGGAACAGCTGTTCAGTACTCTCAGGTTTGCCAATGGTTCTGTAACCAGTGTCAGATCATCATGACATCCTGTAACCGAATACAGAGTCCCTGTTTTGTGCATGCAATATATCCTTCATAAATTGGTCAAAATTCAAATAATCCCTCAGACAGTGATAGAATTGCACTCCTAATTTTTCGCATCACAAGTTCTCTGACAGAGAAGATTTCAAGTGTGTGTGTCTACGGAGATTGAAGCAATTTTCATACTGTGACTGGATGCAACTCGTACATACTCATACCCATTGACACACACTCGCACATGCGTGAAAACATGCACCACTTGTTCAGTGAAGATTTCTCACATGAATAGATGTCACCTCTCCCCTCTGCAATTGAAATAGGCGTGTCGTCGTGGTCAGAATCAAAATGGCAATATTACACATGTATTTACATACCCCACTGAGCTGAACGAAAATCCACTTTGATGGTATCTCGCACAATTTACTGTTCTTTTCAGTTTAAAGACGCATTATCGCTTACTTTGCACATTTTATCAATTATTACAATCAGTAGAAAGCGAGCAGCATAAACCAAATGCAGTTCCGAGAGTATTTTTTACAGTTCCATTCAGTTGGGTTCAGGTTAACACATAATTTCGAACAGTGATAGATTTTAGTCAACTACGATTTTTATACTACTGACGTTCAATAGAAGAAATCTATATTCATTGAATGAATATGACATTGATTTTAAATTCACACCGGAAAAAATTGGTGAGTTTGTCATCAGTATATCCTGTGTAGTGAAGTCAGATCATTATTCCTGATACGTAGTCGAGGAAATGAAAGAAGGTTAACCAGTGGATGGGGAAACACGTTCAACTCGAATTCAACTGTCTAATTTCAGAGTGAAAGTGTCAATCTGTCAGGGATGAGTGTTGTTAATTAGGTAGATTTAGAACAACACACACACACATTTAAGCGAACAATATTATGCTTTCAATTAGATCCCATCATCAGGCTTAACCCTAATATACCTATATAAGTTTACAAATAAAAATTCAAATATAAACCAATCATGGTGTTTTGTCTATAGTATAATAAGATGGTGAGTATAAATTGTGCAATTAGTCGTAATGGTAGTAATGATAATAATAATAGTAATAATATTAATAATAGTCTTATCAATAATATTGATTGGGACGAGAACGAAGGATAAGCTTGATAGTTTTGCCACATCTATGTGCATTTATCAATTCAGCTACACCTGTGGTGATAGTTATGTTGGGAGTACTACTAGACAGCTTAGTGTTAGACAACGTGTTAGTGAACATCTCCCATCGGGGTGGCTTGGCAAAGAACAGACAAAAACAATCCGTAGCTCAATTTTGTCATATTTAATTGATAGTGGCGTTCATGTAGTGGAGAAAACGAGAGCCTTCAAGGTTATTCATCGTATCCCACCGAATATTTTCAATAGACTTCGTATCCGTCTACTGCACACATCTGAGACAGGCGATAGGCATTCGAACTATTAAAACTAACCTATGCATTCAAAAGAAGTTCGTACAGCCATTATCCCTCCCTTATTGGCCTATTAAGACATAACCAAATGATGATTTCTACACCATCCCTTGTTTATATTTTTTCAACCCCTTTCTTATCACCCCTCAATCATCTTCACACATCTTCATTAAAAACGTGTTTCATTTTTTTCCCTTACAATCAGTGTAGCATTATTTAATTGGTTCATTTGTTTTTACTAGCCTTTATCGACTACTTCCACCCGAACATTTATTTGTTTAATCATGCCGTTTTTTTCATTATTCGTGTTATCACAGATTGCCTCACTTTTTCATCCTTATTATTGATAAAACCATCATTATTATTGTTATTATTATTATTACTATTATTACTAGCTGCACAATTTATATTCACCATCGTATTATCCTATAGACAAAACACCATGATTGGTTTATATTTGAATTTTTATTTGTAAACTTATATAGGTATATTAGAGTTAAGCCTGATGATGGGATCTAATTGAAAGCAAAATATTGTTCTCTTAGATGTGTTGTTGTTCTAAATTCTATTATGGGAATACTTAATAAATTATGTAGATGGCTTTCAAAAGCATTGACAGCACTTCTGTTGAAAATTTACAGATCAATAAAGAAAGGTACATGCTATAACGCAATGAATGCTAACTACCTAAAAAAATATAGTTCTATGCATTTGTATAAGACATCTGTTTGTAGGATGCTAAATAGATAAAAATCGGTAAAGCGTTAAACATCATCCTCTTCCGTTGGCTACAATATTCTAACTTCATCTAGGATATACGTTTTAATACAAAACACCAAACCCACAGTACGTAAGACTCCAAAATCAAGAATTCCTGTTAGCAAAATGACGAAATGATTTATCTGTTTGATATTCGCGTATATTTACTTTATAATAGAAAATGAATCGAAATTAAATTAACAAAAAAATGAACAACATTATCTCAGTAAATTGACACAATGGACTTCATATCCATAACCTGTAAAAAGGAAAATTAAAGCGAAACAAAAGTTTTGTAAGGTAGAGAATCTTGAGATGAATTCACTATACCAGTTGATAGACAAACACCCACGTCTTTCCTAGAGCATCCCAATTTCTAGACTTCCTTTACCGGTTTATTCGCTGACAAAAGTAATCAGTCAACAAATCGAGATGTATGAATTCAATAAACACAAAGTTCAACGGAGTACTTGAGAGTGAGAAAGGATAAGGGAATGCCCTTCCATTCGTCCAACGACGTTATGTACTCTTGAAATTAGTGACAATCTACACTGTATTGATAGGAATTCTAATATCAGAAACAACTGGGACACAAACACTTACGAAAATGTTTTATGGATTTATTTGCATATTGCACAGCAAATATTAGGGCGTTAGGGTTCATGCTCTACTTAAATGAGTCAATCAATTAAGGGTGTGGGAATTGGATTTTCACTGTGTGTACTCTTCAGATCTCATCGGACAAAATTTGTATACATTTAATAATATTCTCTGAACCAACTGTTTATTCTTGTCTTCACTGAATAACGCTTTCTGCTCATAGTATTACTGACAAGTATTTGAGTAGTTAAAGTGGTTAACATGAAAAATAATAACTTCGCCTTCAATGCTACTATAATTGTTGTTGTCTTAGTATACAAGGCAGAATAGAAGTTACGCTCAGTTGAATATAAATCTCATTGTCATCTTGGATATTCTCAAACTCAAAAACTCAGTTTGCTTCATGTGAACTTGTTGCATTTCGTCCACAAAATTCAACATTTATAAATTCAGTTCATTTGACTCACCGTCTACAGGATTTTCCTTCCTTTACTCATTAGCCCGTCAGTACATGAGCCGAGTTTCTAAGGAATAAAATTTGCAAAAGAGATTCTCAATTCAATGTAGGTGCAAAAACAACTCCATCTTCTTATTCTCAGTAGAGTCATATATCGGGGGCATTTACAAGTGCTCATTGCGATTTGTTTATTTAACAACGGGAGATAAAGAATCTCCGTGATGCTTGAAAAAAGCGAAATTCGAGCTAGTAAAACACACAGAGCGTGTAAAATAATGACAACAACACTGAGACATGGATGATACTGATGTCAGCCAGCACTCTGCTGTTTATTCGTGACACAGATTTCATGATGTAATGTAAGCCAGTATTTGCCTGGCATTTAGAAAGACACTTTCTGATACTGACCGAATTTCAGTCAGTAGTGAAAATCTTAACATGAACCTAACTCGTCGAAACAAACTTTTCTATTGAACATGGTAACAAAGAACGCAAAAAAAAAGATATCGCATGAATGTATATCCACTGAACAAGCCAATGTTATGATGAACAGTGAATTGTGCGCAAAATTCAATTCAATGTATAACTGCAGATCACTGGATATGACGCTAAATTAAAGAAAGACGAACAAGGATTCATAGTCTACCAGTGTGCTGACATTCTACTCCTAATTCGTTGATACTTTTCCAAAAGCATGTGCTATACAGCCTTATTTATGAATATATATGACGACAGTGTTGTTTACACGAGGGATGTGAAGCCTGAAAATCAACTTCATGAAAACAGGTATCACTTTAATGTTTTTAAAACCCTCCTTCCATATTCATATGAATAGACGATTGTGGAAATCAACATATACAAATTTCTCACACACGTCACAGTCTATGTGAGGTCAACAGTGAACAGATGGTGTGATTTGAAGGAAACTAACTGTCTCCCTCTATTACACCATTCATCACAATAACTACAAAAATAATAACACGAAATTCACTCACTTCACACAACTCCTTGGCGTCATACGTCTTCAGCACGTTGTTCATCATGTCTAACAGCAAGCTGAATATCGATTCACACTAGTGAAAGTAAGAAAACAAACAAACATGGAAACATTCATGAAGGATCCTCGAACGTCAAAAAGCGTAGATCTGCTTGTAGAAAATAAAATTCTACATGATACTCTGGATATTGGAACTGCTGACAGGTAGAGTTCATTTGATGAATGAATGTCATGCATTTGTTTGTGCAATGCATTAATCATCACATATATACTGATCTATTCTTTCTATATTAGAGATATAAAAGGTCAATCAAGATCAGTGAAACGACGTGGATTTTCAGATAAGTAAGTAGGGCTGTGTGGAGTGGTAATTAACACTGGCCCTAGTGACGAAGACAGGTAGGAATCACGATAGTAGGTAGAGCACAACAATACTCTGCACTCATTGCCTATATATGTCCAGACTTTTCAATATATCTAACCACGATTCAAGTGCAAGCCGACACAGCGACTGAATGAGACGTCTTATCACACTATCTAATCTATGGCTGAGAGGGGTTAATGGTTTTGAGAATAGTAGTGGCGTCAGCCTAATTTAATATATACACTTTCCTTAAAGAAATTCTAAAAACCTCTTACAATCAATTCCGTGATTTATATCCGCAAAATGCATGTTCTGGGTGTGATTGAGTGCCAGCTATCTGTAGGGGTCAGTTATTTCTCGTGTAGATGTTCTCTCTCTCACATGCAAAATATGCCTATTATTCTGCCACGTTAATATGCATCCTACATACCATATGTTCTTCCATGCCTTGTTCTGATTCTGATAGGATTGAATTATCCAGATTTGTGTCAACTGCCGTTTCTCCTATCACGCTTACAGCCCACAAATTAGTCTGTTCATTTCGACTGGGGTCACATGTATTTATCTTCATACAGAATCGTTTACCGTGTAGATTCATGTGACCAGATCACTTGAAATGTTACAGGATGTCATCGTCAGATGAAGAAGAACAGGAAAACGAGCTGGGAGTACTGTCAGGTAGCCGTTCCCTCAGCCTAGTTTTCGATTGACTCACCAGAAGTACGCACACATCACAGAGGTTCTAATCTAGGACATTACGCTTACTAGGTAAGCAGCCTCGTAGCCCATCGTGAAATCACAACACCCTTATCAGATAGACCAGCTCTGTCTTCCTCCAACAAAACACAAAAAGTCGATATTAAAATGATGCAAATAACAGATACTTCAATTCAACAGAGATGAAAGCAGTTTCGTAATAAATGTGTCTCTCATCAATAGTATTACATGCCTACCTCGGAATCGACTTACTTTTCGAGACATCCGACCAGACAATTGACATACACTCCTCGTTAGGAGAAGGAAAACATCTTCGAATTCTCTAGTTTGCAGTATTTTTCTCGTCCATTCTTGATAACTCATACAATCCTGACAGCCTAAATAGTGTATGTGATGTGGTAATAATAATAAACTTACTGGAGTTAGACTGAGGTCTCAAGCTGTATGGTCCGTTATACCTCAAGTTTCTGTTAATCTGGAAGAAAGTGAGAGAGAGAGAGAAATCGTCATCTCAAACAACTGGAATAGATGATGTGTCGTGAATATATATTCATACTGAGGCGTGTTTATCTGCACACTGGCTGTGCTAATATTTCCTTCATAAAGCATACTATTAGCTATAGACTATACGTCTCATGGTGAGTCTTGGAAACAATATCCTCGAGTACTTGATCAGTCAACTGCACGTCTAACGATGATACACAAAAGATATTGCTATATTTTGTGATTATAATTTGACCTCGACGATCTCTTCAATGTGTTCAACGCTGCATACCTTAGTCCATGATATGAACACTAGAACGTCAATCAAACATGCCATCTTATTGCGCACCTTACACCCAAGCATTTGGCAAATCTGTTCGGAGGATAGGCTATAGACTGAATTAAGATCTCTGCGTGATAGCCTGCTTAGGAAACTGATATCCACCCAGAATTATCAGGAAGAATGTAGGTGAAATGGCTTCATTTTTGATAGTTGCAGCTGTTCCCAAGAAGACTGACTATCCTCATACATCTGCAATTCAAAGGTGACACTGAAGTAGAATTTCCTAGAAAATGTCCTCCAAAATATCTCAAGAAACACTTCAAACGGCCGACAAATGAATCACATTCTTCAGCAGATAGTTAATCCAGTCAGTCAATTGTTAAGGATAAGATACTGCTTTCGGCCAACTCAATGAGTATTTATCAGTTTGTTCACTCAATCATGTAGAGCAAAGTATATTGGCAGAACACAACCTGAAGTCCACAGACTCACTAATGTGCAGCACTGTCTAAACTTGCCGGTAAGCCAGAGGAGCAAACAAGAAAATAAATATCATTAGCTCCATATTCAAACACCTTGTGATGAACACTCTGGACACCCGGCATCTCTGCATGAGTACTTCGTAGTGTAACATCACAGGAAAGAGCTTCGTATATATAGCATTTTCGTACAGATTTTGTACAAAAAGATTTGCCATCTTCCAGCTAGGCTTTGTCCACTTTGCACAGTTGTATTGATTAGTCATTCCTCACACCTATTAGCGCATTCCATATTCTATTTCCTTTTTCTAACCTGATTTTATGTAGCAAACATTTTTTTCAGAACAAATTCACAAGCATTTGACTGCTCATGGGAATTCTTTGTTTTAATACGCAACCATTGTGCAACTCTTGAGGATGACTCATCGAAAAGAATATTTACTTCGTTTTCTAAGTCCACCTTCTGTTAATTAATTGTGCATTAGACAAGTTGATTCTGTACAACATAATCACACAGTTTTACTTCCATGCAGCATGTAGTAGAAGACATATAAGCTAGCATGTATAATTCTAATATTATTAATAGCAATTCATAGCGTCTAAGAATTCAGCCATCAAAATCCGACAAGGGTCTGAAAAACCTTCTACTTACAACCTGAATTCATCTGCTTCCGTTGATATAATTCTCAATTCATGTAAAGATAATTCCAGTCTTGTGAGCAGTACTTACTGGAGGTCCTAATTAGACCTGCTTTGATAAATATATTTTGTGAATCGGTGATAAGATGAATTTGACATTCTAATGAGGACTTTCACCTCAAAGTGCAGAGTGATATCCTCCTGATATAAAATGCACAAACATGAGGTTCAGAAAACAACAATATCGTGAAAGATGAGGTGTCTGTGAGAACTGTCATTTGATCTTACGTGACTAGATTAGGATAGGAAGTTTGCTAAGGATACGCTGCGAGAAATTCTCCGAAGATTAATTCCAAGAATATTTTACTTCTCTATAGCGGGAAAGATGACTAAAGATAAATAACTTAAACCGTCATTCATTGCAGGTTATCAATGAAATACAACCTATTGAATCTGTATCGTTAGATGTTCGCTACTCATAATTCAATGAGGATTCATTGAAAAATATGAGTAGCTTTCAATTCAACTACACGAAGAGCTCCAATTCTACTCGCCTACCAATCTAGTAACAATCATGAGACGTGACTGAATATTACACTGAGGAATGATCACAGATCACCAGTGATGTCACAGTAATATTCATTCGTCGCTTAAACCTACAGCTGCAGCTCAACTCTGTGCAAATAAAATGACGTGTGTGAAGAGGCATGGAAGAATATGTCATACAGCATTATCACTACACATGTAAAACAACTTACATGACATATAAATTGTCGAAGCGAATTTTGGACATCTTTGTGGCAAACGAAGCCGAATACTGTTCTGAAGTGGTCTTCACAGCTTTCTCCTGGCTTGAAAGTAAAATGTAACATTGAAAGGCCAAAAGGCGGAAACTGATTTAAATAAATGCACGTTCAAAATAAGCGTCTGAGTTTCAGATACATAGAGACGTTTCAGTGTTTGTGGTATGTGCCGAGTACATTGATGAGGAGATCCGCCTTACACTGAGGTAAGCCAAACCATCTCAGGTTATGCAAAAATACGATGAACTTTTCATGGTCAATCAACTTGACGTGTTCGCCTCACGTATTTTCAGAAACACAACATCTATCTCCCTTTCACCGATATATTCAAGCTGTGTGAAGAATTTATCATAGCCACAAAAAATAACAAATATTCATAATGCCTATTCACATCCTCTTGAAATCACTTTATTCTGTGGTGCGAAAAGGATTCGCAGTCTGTTAGGTTGAAGTGTAAGAGACAATCTCAGATCCACTACACTATAAAACAGAAACAACAAGTTTCTATTCTACAGGAAAAGACACACACACATGTATATACAACTTGATAATAAATAATAACTTTTTCTTCACGTTCTCAGTGGAACATAGGGCTCCAAGCTAGTGGCTTGAAGTTTCTGTAGCAATGTTTAATTTTCACAGGATGGGGGTGCTAGCCTCATGCCCAACCTTTCCTCTTTACCAGCATTATTTCTGGCTCAGTGAGGTAAAGGAGTGCGCCGGCCGGGGGTCGAACCCCGGACCATATGCATGGTTGGCAAACATCCTAACCGCTATACCACCGACGCTATACAACTTAGAATATGCGATCTTCTCTTCCCCTAAAAAATCTTGTCACAAAAGACCAAGATCTGTTAGAGTTTGTTCCAGTAATGCCTCATCTACGTGAAATGACAGAGAGGGTGATTGATGAAAGCGATAGAAGCGAAAAAAGCTACAGACTACACACACACACACACACTTTCCTCTGTACAGACAACTAGCTAGTTCGTCAACCAACTTTGCACAATTCCGCCTCCAGATATCAAGAAAAATGGATCAGATATATTTCATTCAGTGAGAAAAGCCCAATGTTCGATGGTGAGCGAAAGATATTTAAATCATTGCGTAATGTGTCAGATGACAAAGCCACTTTAACAAAGGCAAACAACTTACTTCAGTCCTTGTCAGAGTGACTACAATAGAGAAAAGATGGTTATTTCATGAAATGAATGCGCCAAACCACCTACCCAAAGTTAATATCAAGACACTTAGAACAACCGGGCGCATTTTCTACAGTTCTTTCACAATTTATCTCAAAGAACCCGACTTTTATACACGTCTACAACCCTGTTTCCATTGAGAGTATATATTGAGAAAATTTGCAATTTGTATACCTACTTGTATCAGATAACATGTTGAATTACGAAAAGGTGTGAAAAACTAGATGTGTTACCTAGCGACCACATAGTCGAAAAGCAAGCACTAAAGCAAGCAAAGCCAGTCTAATTTGAAATATGATACTTCCAATGAGGGTAAATGTAACACAAAGTTGAAAAAGGAGTAAATTTTTAGAAAAATACTGGTAACTTGTTACTATCGTGTCGCTAGTGAATACCAGCCATATTGAAAACTTGGAAGCATTTATTTATTATTCCCAGCATGTTGAATTCATTGAGTATCACAATAGGAGTAATACGGAACACTTAACTAATATATGTGTAAAACTTGGGCACTGTAGTAATAAGTAATTCAATATTAGTTAGTTTATTAGATGTATCACACAGTGAGTGAAACAGTATTATTTACTGGATGACACAGTTTCGAACAAACTTTATTGTGGTTCATAATCATTTCATCAACTATAATCACACGACTTTGAAACTTGCGTTTTTTAGTTTTCTACTATTTGTCGGCATTGGGGTAGTAGAATTTTCCAGATATCTGGGACCGGTGTTGAATCACTCCTCTCTTCAATTCATTCGACAAACAAACCTTTTTATATCAAGTTCTCCCTTCACCCTGTTAGTTGTATTAGATTTTAAAACTGTCATCTTATCCCATCCAGTCTATTGTATGGTTGTGTGTAACTGCATGTAGTGATTGTAACAGCTGAACTATTCTCTAGATTTCTTATCTTATTCAGGTCAGCCAATCGAGACTTTGAGTGAATACAATTGAATAATAAATTTCGTTCGAAACGTCATCCAGTAAATACTAATACTGTCCCTTTGACTGTGTGATACACCTAATAAAGAAACTGATAATGAACACTTAAATGCTTGACTTGTAAAATTTCTCGAAACGTCCTGACCATGTTGTGAACAAGTATTTGCACAATTATCACAGTTCATAATCTGCAGAAAGCATAGAAAGTGATTGGAGATTACTGCAGAATGGTGAAGGGTAGATGTATTCAGTTCACAGTAGTCGATGATGAACATGGCGAGGTGAAATACCATTCTAGGCGGTACCACATTTGGCCAACCCATGTTCTATACGGCAGAGACAATGTAATGCGTGAAACTTATGAATTACCATACAGTTCGCAGAATAATCGGTTCTCTCAGGATTTCACCATGGGCTGACATTAGTTAGACAACCATTGGAAAACCAACTGGGAAAACTGGACAGCTGTTTCGTCCTAGTTTGGGACTCTTCAGCAGTACGCACCCACAGCTAAGGTTCAAACCCAGGACCTTCCGGTTACAAGGCGAGCTCGTATACCATTAAGCCACTGGGACCCGATCCAATGGTCCTTGAATTCTAACTTCTGCCAATTCACGACATAGCGCGACCGCTAGCCAATGTCTTCGGCGAGTATTTGTCCTCACACCCGACCAGCTGCACCCTACTGGTCACGACTTCCCACGGGAACCCAGGTAACTACTAGGTCAAACACCTTGATATCTTTCACTGAAGTCGATAAAATCAAACGTATCACTAAGGGCTACACATTGCCATGTCCTCTTACCGGTTTACTGATATCTGCTAGCCACTTCGACATCGAATAATATAGTGAGTTGACCATCTCAATGATAGATCGAAGTGACGCCTCACTATTCACATTAAATGACTATAAGTGCAGGAGGAATACTACAACAACTGTCACCGACATCTGGATAATAATAATAATTTTGCTTCTCTTCCAGAAACAGTACCAGAGGAACAGTGTGGAATTTTCAGCACATATTTACAATACTGCATTTTATTTCATCGCACATTTAAAAGGAGTATTACAACAAATATAAAAAACAACAATAAAAACCAAAAGGATACACAAAAAATAACAAAAAATGCAAATAAAAATACCAAGTATAAACAAAGATAAACACCAATAATGAAAAATATTTCAGTATTTGGTAGTGGAAGCTATGATATGTGTATGTGTGGTGAACAGTAACAGCTATAATCATACAAGAAGTTGTGAGATCAGTAAAATCCCGTGATCAGTGAATCCCGTGGAGCATGTTTGACGCTTATCTTCAACTATCTGAATCCATGTTTAGGGGAATTTTTACATAACACTGCAAGTGCTATATGATTTGGCATAAACATAAATACAAAATTAATATTCAAGTATTGGTTTTGTAGGGATTTTGTTTGATTGCATGGAGGATTTAATCATGAGCTGACATCAGTTAGAGAACCACTGGAAAACCTGGGAGTACTGGACAGCTGTTTCGTTCTAGTTTGAGACTCTTCAGCAGTACGCACCCACCGGGATTCGAAGTGGTCGCGCTATGTCGTCAATTGTAAGAAGTTAGATTTCAAGGACCATTGGATCGGGTCCCAGTGGCCTAATGGTCTACGAGATAGCTCGCCTTGTAACCAGAAGGTCCTGGGTTCGAATCCCGGTGGGTGCGTACTGCTGAAGAGTCCCAAACTAGGACGGCGGAAACAGCTGTCCAGTGCTCCCAGGTGGTTTCCAGTGATGCGAAGAAATTTCTCTTTTCAACGACTTCATTCTCAAGCCAACAGTACAGTCGTATTTATATTACAGAAAAAGGTTATTAAGTGGCACTAAATAACTGCTCAGTCAATATACATATATATGTGGTAAGAATAACGATAATTAATTAATAAAAAGTGAAGTGGAATGAATTCAAGTGATAAGAAATTAAATAAAACAAAAACTAGAAAGAACAATACTATGACCAAGGTAAAAAAGAAAGTGGTTTGACAAAACGTTTTTGATCACATAATTAAGGTTTCTGTTCATGTACAGCTAAAGCTTAGGCTATGCATAAGTGAAGAAAACGTGTAAACTTTTGGATCGATTCAATTTCGCCATGTAGATAACTTTGCAAGATGAATCAAGTGAAGCTAAATGACCAGACTCTATCTAACAGGTGATCACAAATAGATGAATTTGCAGTTCTACGTTCACCTTTCATTAACCAAACCGGATAGTGTGTTCAGCTACATAATAATACGTTTAAACAAATTATGAACATACAAATTTAATGGTCGGACACACTGAAAACTGAGCTGCACAATAAAAGACAATAGGTGGAAGTCAGACGGTAAACTGAAGAATGGTAAATGAGGATAGTGAATAAAGGATGTGAGATGGCAACATGAGAACAGAATATGGCTGGTATAATAAGATAAAAACTGGAGAAGATGAAAAGGATTTGACCGTTGTGAGGAATGATTAAAGCCAACTTCTTTCTGAATGAATAAGTAACTAGATTCATTGCCCTACTGCTGACAATCTTTAATATGCTACTCAAAGCGAAACAGTCCTGTTTAAGTAGACAGGGAAAGACTAAGAAGGTGGGCGAGCATTAAAGTTCACTAGGTAAGATGCACTAGTTAACAAATTGTAAAAGCAGAGGTTGAGTAATAGCAGATTGTTTTAACTTCTGAATGTATTAGCTTCAATGGAACACGTTTTTGGAGATCTACGTAATATGAGGTGATTTAGTTGGATCAGAGGCTAGAAATATACCAAGTTATTTTGTGTCAGACCGAGTTTCTAATACATTCCTGTCTATTCTTCAAGCATGGTGTGTAGCAACCAGACGTTGTAGATCACTTTTATAATCAAAATAGTAGTTAGTAGTCTGATGTGTTGAGAGATTTAAGGTGAGACCATTCAGCTTATACCACTGATTGATTTCGGATAGAGAGAACTGCCAAGTTTTCCACAGCCTGATTGAGACTTGACAGGTAGCGAGACGGTCAGATCATCAGCGTATTTGACGAAACTGGTGTAATTAGACAGAGGTAGGTGATGTAAGAAGGAAGGAAAAAGGAAAGGCAAGAGAATAGCACACTGAGGAACATCAGCTTCACTGAGCATGGCAGAATAAGATTCGGTTTTATTTACAGTATACTGCATACTACTTGAGAAATGAGGATGCAGCCAGTTAATAGTCCAGGACTCGGTTTGCGTAGGCAAAAAACCTTATTTAACTGAAAGCACCTAAATAGTGAATCGAATGAGGGAAGTTACAACGATCATATTTGACCCTTTGTCTAAGGAGGAGTGGACAATGTTACGATGTAGCGCGGCTGCAGCATGTAAATAACTTCTTCACAGCCTGCAATGAAACTGTTTTGGATCTTAAGAACTTCCTTACTATGGTGCGAAATTGAGTGAAAATTACTCGGTCAATTTCAGAACAGAAGAGTTGATTGCAATATGTGTTTGTTTAATATTATTAGCAGGACGTGATTTGGTAAAACTATGATGAATTCACCTTACTTCGTAGGATCTCCATCAGTTGCACACATACACCTTTAACACAACAGCCTGTTGATTTTTTCTCACTATTTTGTGCCTTTTTGATTAAACACCAGTTATTGGTGTGACGTGTCTAGTCCATTTTTTGGCGCAGAATGAACTTTCTCAGTAAGGTTTGCATTGCGGCCAGCATTCTTGGTAGCCCACCATCATGGTGCACATTGATTTGATGATATTTGATGTTTGGAGGCAATCCGCAGGAGGCCTTACCCCACTTAGGTTTCTTGCTATTTAGCACCCGTCAGAACAGCGTGTCTGCAACTTTCAAGGTTGTAGATACTAGACATATCACACTAGTTACTAGTTTCAAATCAAAAATACTCACTACAGTCTTACAGGAGGTCAATCGCAAGCCCCAATAGCTTAGTGGTAATGTCTCTGACTGTAGCACTGGGTGACACGGGTTCGAATCTCAGAAGTGACATGAGTTCCTTCAATGTTACTGATACGCCTTGCTGACTGGTGAGTGCCAACTTACACAAAATCTAGGTTCAAGGCTTTCCAGCCGATTGCCTCAAACCATCTAATATAGTGTGTTTTTTATACACTTTTTGACCGTTTGTACAGTTTAATTATCCTACGAGGGATTTATTCCACAAGCTTTATTGGCTGTTACAATCAGAATGAATTCATAACTGAAATACACTCCAGCTGGATTGAGATTTGAATAAATCAACTATTTATGTAACGCATTGAAGAAGTGGACATTATCAGTCGTATTCCAATGGAGTGTGTGCAGTTTAGCAGTCATCAGAAATTGCATCTTCTCTTGTTATTTCCAACTTCTGACTTTACTTCTTCTAAAAACACTTCCTTCCTTTCAAAGTATTACTGCATAAATAGACATCATCATTATGATCATCTTCGTTGTGCGTGAGGTGTTTACTGAATATGCTTTTCCTCTAACCTTTGAACTTTGATTCCACTGAGCGTCTGTTTCGCATGATATTTCTGTTTGATTTTCAATCACCACAAACCTGGGAATCTCGCAAAATCTTATTCTACTGACAACGAGCACGTGAGATTACTTATCAGATTGCGTCAGCTACATGTATGTATATATATGATGTTTTGAGTAAATCATTTCATCTATGACCTAAATTCTCGCTGTAATCTAACACTTAGGAAATTCATTGTGGTTTTAAGTAATTATGTCAACTTTGTTAGGACCAGCGTATTTATCACACATTCCCACTAGCAAAACAGGAGTAAATATGAAGAACGAGTCTTATCCTTTAATAAAACAAATATATCCTGAAGAAGACATACTCGCTGTCGCAAAGAATAGTGTTTCATTTCGTCATGTTCATCATCGACTACAAGAGACTGTCTAATTATGAACTGAGTGAATATACCCTTTACCATAAACCAGTAATACCCAGTCAATTTCTATGGTTTCAGCAGATTTTGAACTGTGATTATTGTGCAAATACGTGTTTACAATATCGTCGAAGGGTTTCAAGGAATTTAACAAGCTAAACATTTAAGTGTTAGGCATAGCTCCTACTGTGATGACCAACGACTTCGAAATGCTGGGAATAATAAATAAATGCTTCCAAGTTTTCAATATGGCTGGTATTCACTAGCGACACGATAGTAACAAGTTACCAGTATTTTTCTAAAAATTTACTCCTTTTTCAACTTTGTGTTACATTTACCCTCATTGGAAGTATCATATTTCAAATTAGACTGGCTTTGCTTGCTTTAGTGCTTGCTTTTCGACTATGTGGTCGCTAGGTAACACATCTAGTTTTTCACACCTTTTCGTAATTCAACATGTTATCTGATACAAGTAGGTATACAAATTGCAAATTTTCTCAATATATACTCTCAATGGAAACAGGGTTGTAGACGTGTATAAAAGTCGGGTTCTTTGAGATAAATTGTGAAAGAACTGTAGAAAATGCGCCCGGTTGTTCTAAGTGTCTTGATATTAACTTTGGGTAGGTGGTTTGGCGCATTCATTTCATGAAATAACCATCTTTTCTCTATTGTAGTCACTCTGACAAGGACTGAAGTAAGTTGTTTGCCTTTGTTAAAGTGGCTTTGTCATCTGACACATTACGCAATGATTTAAATATCTTTCGCTCACCATCGAACATTGGGCTTTTCTCACTGAATGAAATATATCTGATCCATTTTTCTTGATATCTGGAGGCGGAATTGTGCAAAGTTGGTTGACGAACTAGCTAGTTGTCTGTACAGAGGAAAGTGTGTGTGTGTGTGTGTGTGTAGTCTGTAGCTTTTTTCGCTTCTATCGCTTTCATCAATCACCCTCTCTGTCATTTCACGTAGATGAGGCATTACTGGAACAAACTCTAACAGATCTTGGTCTTTTGTGACAAGATTTTTTAGGGGAAGAGAAGATCGCATATTCTATGTTGTATATACATATGTGTGTGTCTGTTCCTGTAGAATAGAAACTTGTTGTTTCTGTTTTATAGTGTAGTGGATCTGAGATTGTCTCTTACACTTCAACCTGACAGACTGTGAATCCTTTTCGCACCACAGAATAAAGTGATTTCAAGAGGATGTGAATAGGCATTATGAATATTTGTTATTTTTTGTGGCTATGATAAATTCTTCACACAGCTTGAATATATCGGTGAAAGGGAGATAGATGTTGTGTTTCTGAAAATACGTGAGGCGAACACGTCAAGTTGATTGACCATGAAAAGTTCATTGTATTTTTCCATAACCTGAGATGGTTTGGCTTACCTCAGTGTAAGGCGGATCTCCTCATCAATGTACACGGCACATACCACAAACACTGAAACGTCTCTATGTATCTGAGACTCAGATGCCTATTTTGAACGTGCATTTATTTAAATCAGTTTCCGCTTTTTTGACTTTTTAACTATACATTCTACTTTCAAGCCAGGAGAAAGCTGTGAAGACCACTTCAGAACAGTATTCGGCTTCGTTTGCCACAAAGATGTCCAAAATTCGCTTCGACAATTTGCATGTCATGTAAGTTATTTCAGGTGGGAAGTGATTATGCTGTATGAAATATTCTTCCATGCCTCTTTACACACGTCATATATTTTGCAATACCTTGAGCTTATCCGTAGGCTTTGGTTATGCACAAATAAGCCTTTGATATCAATGGTGGTTTGCGATCATTCTTTGAAGTAATACTGATTAACTACTCATAATGTTCACTAGATTGATGTGCTAGCAGAAATGGAGCCTTTCGTTCAGTGAACTTGAAAGCTAATCATGTTTGTCAATCAATCTTTGATTGAATTAGGAATAGGAAACATCGAATGGCAAAGATTTAGTAGGCTGTGTTTCACACTGATAACTTGTTATGAATGATGATTAAAGTTTTTAGCTTTTTTTTTCTCCCACCTCCATGGAGAAGTAAAATACTCTCTGAATTAATTTTCGGAGAATTTCTCACTGAATATCATTAGAGAATTTTCCTATCCTATTCCAGGTAGTTAAGTTGAAATGACAGTTCTGATTGACACCTCACCATTCACAATATGTTGCCATATCTTGAACCTAATATTTGAGGATTTGTGCATCGGTGGCACAGTGGTTAGCACTCTCGCCGACCATGCACATGGCCCGGGGTTCGAGCCCACGCCGACGCACACCTGATATCAATGGTCGGCCTGCGAATTTTGGGCTACCGATATCCACGCTGAAAATTCCATACTTGTACCAAAAATACGGTGTGGAATCAAGCTGTAATCAAAAATAAAAAAAAAAATAAATTATATCAGGAGAATATCAGTATGCACGTTGTGGCGAATGTCCTTACTAGAATATCAAATTTATCTTATCAATGATTCGCAATCAATTGATAACATGAGGTTTTCCACTTAGAATTTTGAATAAATCGTGAAATTCGTCTCACTTCCAGTAGGAAATCAAGTGCTATCTATGGCAGTGACATTATCTTTGCATTAAATTTTAAATTATGTCATCAGAATAAGATGCATTTTGGGTGGTCATTTGAATGTTTGTGAATACCTAGTCAAATTCAGATAATTACATATTTAGACACTACTTATTGCATGAAGATATAATAGTTTTCCCTTGTTGTATATATTTTTTTATTCCTTCGCGGTCCCAGTAGAACATAGGGCTTCAAGCTGAGGGCTTGAAGTTTCTGTAGAAGCGGTTGCTAGCCTCATGGTAAAGGAGTGCGTGAGCCGAGGATCGAATCCCAGACCATGAGCTTGGTCGACGAGCGTCCTAACCACTGTGCCACCGACGCACTATAACACAGAGTTAACTCATCTAATAGAGAATAAAGTGAAAGAGAGGGAGGCTATAGGCGACGACGACGACGACGAAGAAATTGCTTTCTTTTCTACGAATCATTTGCAGGAGTTACACAGTGGTATTTGTATTTAACAAAGAATTATCAACAGGCATTGGATAATGATAATTTTATTCTTTAGAATGCACTAGGTAATATGAAGAGCCATCTAGAAGGGTATAATCAATTTGTAGGTCAGCAAGATGGAGACACAATTTGAAATGGCGTATTGATTGTGAGGAATGACAGATCAGTGTGGCTGTACAAAGTGGACAAAATGCAGTTGAATGATTGTAAATTTATTGTAAGAAATCTGTAAGACAATCCTTTGTTATCAATAAACGAAAATGGAGTGGTTATAATACAAGAATAATTATGATAATAAATGTACACAATTAAGTATAACAAAATGATAATAAGAGCTTCACTGTGGTCATGTTAAGACGCGTAGATGTATGCAGTGGATGCTAACACACAGATCTCGAATAGCTGATGATTCAGCTGGGTATAGGTGGCGCATTCAAAGTCCTTTCATGTGATATTGAGGAAGTCTGTGTATTACACTGCGAATTACGCATGTGGGTATGCTGAGTGTCAAGAGTGCTGACAAGGTGTTCATGAATATAACTACTGATATTCTTCGGTTTTGCTCCTGTGGCTAGCTCCTACGTCTATATAGTGCTCCTGAAAACGTTTGTAGACTTGATATTGTGTGCGGCTGATATTCTTTTCTACACAAGTGCAAGTGAGTAAACTGATAAATACACAATGAGCTGGTCAAAAGCAATATCTTATCTCTACCGTTTGACTGATTGAGTTAACTGTCCGCTGGAGAATGTGAATTGTAAGTTGAATGGCTGAAGTGTCTTCTTCAGACATTTCGAAAAACAGTATCTTAGGTGTTCTGCTTCGAAATTGCTATGGAATTCTAGATGTATGAGGATAGTCTTCTTGGGAACAGCTGCAACCTTCAAAAATGTAGCTAATTCACCTACATTATTTTCGATAATTTTAGGCAGATACTGGTTCTCGAGCAAGTTATCACGCAGAGACATATATTATTCAATCTTCGGTATATCCTCTGAACAGATTCACAGATTGCTTGAGTGTAAGGTACGCAGTGAGTTTTCATTGAGATGAATAAGAGAAATATCTCGTAGTTAATCAGCTGCCTACTCCGCCTTCATTTTCGATATATTGATGTTTGGATTGAGCTATCTTGTCTTCTAGGAAACAGAGCATTCAAGAATAAAAACTGAATGTTTGATTAACGTTCTAGTGTCAAGATTATTTACAGGAGTATCCAGCGTAGAACACATTAAAGAGATCATCGAGGTCAAATTCGAATCACAATATATAGAAGTATCTTCTGAGTATCTTCATTAAACGTGAAATTGACTGATCAAGTACTCCAGGATAGTGTTTTCAAGCTTCACCATGAAACGTATAGTATATAGCTAATAGCAAGCTTTTTGACGGAAATATTAGCACAGTCAGTGTGCAAATTAATACGCCTGACTATGAATAATAATCACGATAAATCATCTATTCCAGTTGTTTAAGATGACGATTTCTCTCTCTCTCTCACTTTCTTCCAGATTAACAGAAACTTGAGGTATAACGGACCATACAGCTTGAGACCTCAGTCTAACTCCAGTAAGTTTATTATTATTACCACATCACATACACTATTTAGGCTGTCAGGATTGTATGAGTTATCAAGAATGGACGAGAAAAATACTCCAAACTAGAGAATTCGAAGATGTTTTCCTTCTCCTAACGAGGAGTGTATGTCAATCGTCTGGTCGGATGTCTCGAAAAGTAAGTCGATTCCGAGGTAGGCATGTAATATTATTGATGAGAGACACATTTATTACGAAAATGCTCTCATCTCTGTTGAATTGAAGTATCTGTTATTTGCATCATTTTAATATCGACTTTTTGTGTGTTGTTGGAGGAAGACAGAGCTGGTCTATCTGATAAGGGTGATGTGTTATCACGATGGGTTATTAAGTTGCTAGCCTTGTAGGCGTGATGTCCTAGATAAGGTCGTCTGTGATGTGTGCGTACTTCTGGTGAGTCAGTCGAAAACTATGCTAAGGGTACAGCTGTCTGACAGTACCCCAGCTCGTTTTCCTGTTCTTCTTCAGCTGACGATGAAATCCTGTAACATTTCAAGTGATCTGGTCACATGAATCTACACGGTAAACGATTCTGTATGAAGATGAATACATGTGACCCCAGTCGAAATGAACAGACTAATTTGTGGGCTGTAAGCGTGATGGGAGAAATGGCAGTTGACATAAATCTGGATAATTGAATCTTATCACAACCAGAACAAGGCATGGAAGAACATATGGTAGGTAGGCTGCATATTAACGTGGCAGAATAATAGGCATATTTTGCATGTGAGAGAGAGAACATCTACACGAGAAATAACTGACCCCTACAGATAGCTGGCACTCAATCACACCCAGAACATGCATTTTGCGGATATAAATCACGGAATTGATTGTAAGAGGTTTTTAGAATTTCTTTAAGGAAAGTGTATATATTAAATTAGGCTGACGCCACTACTATTCTCAAAACCACTAACCCCTCTCAGCCATAGATTAGATATTATGATAAGACGTCTCATTCAGTCGCTGCATCGTCTTGCACTTGAATCGTGGTTAGATATATTGAAAAGTCTGGACATATATAGGCAATGAGTGCAGAGTATTGTTGTGCTCTACCTACTGTCGTGATTCCTACCTGTCTACATCACGAAGGTCAGTGTTAATTACCACTCCACACAGCCCTACTTACTTATCTGAAAATCCACGTCGTTTCACTGATCTTGATTGACCTTTTATATCTCTAATATAGAAAGAATAGATCAGTATATATGTGATGATTAATGCATTGCACAAATAAATGCATGACATTCATTCATCAAATGAACTCTACCAGTCAACAGTGCCACTATCCAGAGTATCATGTAGAATTTTATTTTCTACAAGCAGATCTACACTTCGTAACGTTCGAGGATCCTCCATCGATGTTACCATGTTTGTTTGTTTTCTTAATTTCACTAGTGTGAATCGATATTCAGCTTGCTGTTAGACATGATGAACAACGTGCTGAAGACGTATGACGCCAAGGAGTTGTGCGAAGTGAGTGAATTTCGTTTTATTATTTTTGTAGTCTTTGTGATGAATGGTGTAATAGAGGGAGACAGTTAGTTTCATTCTAGTCACACCATCTGTTCACTGATGACCTCACATAGACTGTGACGTGTGTGAGAAATTTGTGTATGTTGATTTCCACAATCGTCTATTCATATGAATATGGAAGGAGGGTTTTAAAAACTGTAAAGGGATACCTGTTTTCATGAAGTTCATTTTCAGGCTTCACATCCCTCTTGTAAACAACACTGTCGTCATATATATTCATAAATAAGGCTGTATAGCACATGCTTTTGGAAGAGTATCAACAAATTAGGAGTAGAATGTCAACACACTGGTAGACTATGAATCCTTGTTCGTCTTTTTAATTTGGCGTCATATCCAGTGATCTGCAGTATACATTGAATTGAATTTTGCGCACAATTCACTGTTCATCATAACATTGGCTTGTTCAATGGATATACATTCATGCGATATCTTTTTTTTTGCGTTCTTTGTTACCATGTTCAATAGAAAAGTTTGTTTCGACGAGTTAGGTTCATGTTAAGATTTTCACTATTGACTGAAATTTGGTTAGTATCAGAAAGTGTCTTTCTAAATGCCAGGCAAATACTGGTTTACATTACATCATGAAATCTGTGTCACGAATAAACAGCAAAGTGCTGGCTGACATCAGTGTCATCCATGTCTCAGTGTTGTTGTCATTATTTTACACGCTCTGTGTGTTTTACTAGCTCGAATTTCGCTTTTTTCAAGCATCACGGAGATTCTTTATCTCCCGTTGTTAAATAAACAAATCGCAATGAGCACTTGTAAATGCCCCCGATATATGACTCTACTGAGAATAAGCAGATGGAGTTGTTTTTGCACCTACATTGAATTGAGAATCTCTTTTGCCAATTTTATTCCTTAGAAACTCGGCTCATGTACTGACGGGCTAATGAGTAAAGGAAGAAAATCCTGTAGACGGTGAGTCAAATGAACTGAATTTATAAATGTTGAATTTTGTGGACGAAATGCAACAAGTTCACATGAAGCAAACTGAGTTTTTGAGTTTGGGAATATCCAAGATGACAATGAGATTTATATTCAACTGAGCGTAACTTCTATTCTGCCTGGTATACTAAGACAACAACAATCATAATAGTATTGAAGGCGAAGTCAATATTTTTCATGTTAACCACTTTAACTACTCAAATACTTGTCAGTAATACTATGAGCAGAAAGCGTTATTCAGTGAAGACAAGAATAAACAGCCGGTTCAGAGAATATTATTAAATGTACACAAATTTTGTGTGAAGAGATCTGAAGAGTACACACAGTGAAAATCCAATTCCCACACCCTTAATTGATTGACTCATTTAAGTAGAGCACGAATCCTAACGCCCTAATATTTGCTGTGCAATATGCAAATAAATCCATAAAGCATTTTCGTAAAGGTTTGTGTTGCAACTATTTCAGATATGAGAATTCCTATCAATACAGTGTAGATTGTCACTAATTTCAAGAGTACATAACGTCGTTGGACGGATGAAAGGGCATTCCCTTATCCTTTCTCACTCTCAAGTTCTTTGTTGAACTTTGTGTTTATTGAATTCATACATCTCGATTTGTTGACTGATTACTTTTCTCAGCGAATAAACCGGTAAAGGAAGTCTAGAAATTGAGATGTTCTAAGGAAAAACGTGGGTGTTTTTTTATCAACTGGTATAGTGAATTCATCTCAAGATTCTCTACCTTACAAAACTTTTGTTTCGCTTTAATTTTCCTTTTTACAGGTTATGGATATGAAGTCTGATGTGTCAATTTACTGAGATAATGTTGCTCATTTTTTTGTTAATTTATTTCGATTCATTTTCTATTATAAGGTAAATATACCCGAATATCAAACAAATAAATCATTTCGTCATTATGCTAACAGGAATTCTTGGTTTTGGAGTCTTACGTACTGTGGGTTTGGTGTTTTGTATTAAAACGGATATCCTAGATGAAGTTAGAATATCGTATCAAGTGGAAGGGGACAATGCTTAAACGCTCTGCCGATATTCGTCTATTCAGCACTGTTTTATAAAGAAAGCAGGGAACTGTAATCGCTCTTTAGATGGTCTGTATTGATTATATGATACTATGTATGTTTATTGATTTTGTAATTGTAAACGGATGTTCTGTCAATGCTTTTGAAAGCAATCTACATAATTAACAACACTCATCCCTGACAGATTGACACTTTCACTCTGAAATTAGACAGTTGAATTCGAGTTGAACGTGTTTCCCCATCCACTAGTTAACCTTCTTTGATTTCCTCGACTACGTATCAGGAATGATGATCTCACATCAACACACAGGATATACTCATGACAAACTCACCACCTTTTCTATGTGTATTTACATTTAGTATCATATTCATTCAGTGAATATAGATTTATTCTATTGAAAGTCATTAATATGAAAGTCGGCTTTCACTGAAATCTGTCACTGCTCTACATTGTGTGTGTGTGTGTTGACTTGAACTCACCTGAATGAAACTGTCAGAAATCTTCGGAACTGCATTTGGTTTTTGCAGCTAACCTTCTACTGATTGTAATAATTTATGTAATTATTGAAAGAAGATTTAATCGTGAGGTATGGTCAGATAGGATGTTTTTCACCTCAGTGATATATAAATAGATATGGATTGTTACCATTGATTTTCCACCACGACGATACTCTTAGTATTTTGGAATTGCATTAGAGAAAGATAATACCTTTTTGTGTGAGTATTCTTCGGTGATTAAGTGGTACATATTTTCACGTGTGTGTGTGTGTGTGTGTAAAGGAGTGAGTATGAACGAGTTTTTTTCCAGTCACAGTATGAAAATTGCTTCAATCTCAGCAGATACACATTTGAAATCTTCTCTGTCAGAGAACTTGGGATGCCTGAAAATTAGGATTGCAATTCTAACATTCTATGAGGGACAACTTGAATTTTGATCGATTTATGAAGCATGTAGTTCATGCATAAAGCAAGAATTATGTATTTGGTTACAGGATTTTATCATGAGCAGACACTGGATAGAGAACTATTGGAAAACTAGCTAGGAGTACTGGACATCTGTTCCGTTCTAGTTTGTGACTCTTCATCAGTACGTACCCACCACAGACGGTTCGAACCCAGGACCTGCGGGTTACAAGGCAAGTGAGCTCATAGACGATTAAGCCAGTGGTACCTAATCCAATCTCCCATGAATTCTAAATTCTGCAGCAGGTCTGGTGTGAGGAGAAATACTCGCCAAAGATATTGGCTATTGATCGCTCTACGTACTCAATCGACAGATGATAGAATTCATGGGAAATTGGATCGTGCCCCAGTGGCTTAATGATCTACTAGCTCTTTTTTTTGATGTGGTTTTGTTCTCTGAGCTGGATGGTTAGTTTGCAAACTAACCATCCAGCTCAGAGAACAAAACCACGTCAAAATCATCCACCTGAGCTACAAATCTTCTCTATCATATCTAGATCTACTAGCTCGCTTGCCTTGTAACCAGAAAGTCGTGGGCTCGAACCACGGTGGGTGCGTACTGTTGAAGAGTCCCAAACTAGAACGGAACAGCTGTCCAGTACTCCCAGTTGGTTTTCCAATGGTTCTCTAACTAATGTCAGCTCATGATGAAATTCTGTAACCAATCGACCAAATCCCTACAAACCAATACTTGAACTCTGTATTTGATGGAAATGCCTATAACTATATGATGCATGAATGTGAAATACAAAGTTGGTTATACTAATAAGACATTAAACCATATGCAATCCGACAAAATTAAGTAAATCTTCCTGCAAATATAAGCAGAACCACTTCCACCAGGTTTATTTACGTGAAGATCAGAGATATCGAGATGTTGACTTTGATGTAGATGTATGAGTTAAACGGCTTATACTGATACAGAACCTTCATACATGATTAGCTGGCTATCTTCAAACACACGATCGAATGTTTGCGGATAAGTTGTGGCTATAAATGAATGGCGATTTCTGCTAATTGAGTGATAAACTGATATATTTAGATAACTATGATTTCCCATTCTTAACAGACTAGACTTATTAAGTATGTGATACTCTTCCTTTCTATTCCTTCCTTCTATTCATGAATTCTGTACTATTACTTTTTTCATAATATGTCTGTCCGATATTTGGCGTAGGTTTGATTGTTTTGAGGCATATTATCACGCATACAGATGCTCGCTACAAAACTGTACTCTACTCATTGATTGATTCGATGTTATTTAAGAATAACAACATTGGTAACCTCCTAATAAGCATGGATGGATGGATGGATATATAACTGTAGAACCTGATGAAGAGGAGGCTATCAAAATTTGGGAATATTTTTTGTTCAGCAATCATTCTTTTGAAATTTTCAATTTATTTTGTCTGTTTCCAATTTGCATTAAATTTTAAGCATTTATACAAGAGTATTTCGGTGAGTTTTGTCAATAAACGTTGACTAACTATACATATCGTTCATTAATTTCATATTGGTATTCGAGTGTCGGTTTGCAGGGATTTGGTCTGATTTGGTTTCAGGATTTCATTATGAAGTGACATCGGTTGGAGTACGATTGTAAAACCATCTTGGAAAATTGTACAGACACCTGCTTCGTCAGCCTAGTTTGGAACTGACACTCCAACACTACGAACCCACAGGCAAGGGTTCAAACCCAGAACATTCTCGTTACAAGACTAGCGAGCTCCCAGACCACTTAACCACTGGGTGCCAAATTAATGGCCACTCCATGACACTGTGCGACTGGCACTAGCCGAGTGTTCAACCTGACACCCAACCCGCTGTACCCATCTGGTTAAGACTTCTCACTTCTCAGGTAACTGCCATTCTGAATAAGGCCAGTTACTAGCAAAAGCATCACATTGCTGTTCACGTATTGGTTTGCAAGGATTTGATTTCATTGGATTGGATATAGGGTTCCATCATGAGCTGATATTGGTTAGACAAGCATTTCAAATCCTTGGAGTACTTACTGGACAGCTGTTTCGTCAGTCTAGTTTGTGATAGATTCTTCAACACTACTAATTATCCGTTGGAGTTCTTATGGAGTTTGAAAATATTTTATTCCAGTACTGAGTTAAAACGAAGTTTTTTTATAACATAAGTAATGTTTTCTTACAAACAAATGTTTTATTCACTCTCATAAAGTGGAGAAATTCTGTCGAAAGACAATTAATCTAGCACTACCAATAGAGTCGACTGAAGTGAATAGTGATCACATTGATGGAATTATCAAAGATGCCTGCTCTAATATACATAAAAACGATACAGAAATGGTGAGTTAATCAATCATTGTTACGAAGTGTCAAATAATTCTTCATGTCATATTCTAAGTCATCAAATATTTTGACTAATTTAGAATAAAATTTTGAGCCATCAAATTTTAGTTAATATTCTTATGACCTAATAAGTTATCGCCACATAATAAAGTAGTAATTTGATTTAGTGGATTTAAATAGATTTTAATGTTAATGAAATGTTGCAGATAAGTTGTATCCTCGTTATTTTCTATAGATAAAGTTGTGTGAATACAAAAAGCAGAGGATATCAGCTTCCCAAAAATCAGTGTAAATGAAGCTCTGATCCAAGGAGAATTGACTTACTTCACACCTCACACGAGCGAAAATAAAGGCTACATAAATCATTCGTGTATTTCTTTGATTTGGCGTCGGTTGTGCAGTAGCAGAATGCTCTCCAACCACGCCTGTTATTCAGCATTTGATCCATGACAGACTCATTTACTTCTCTTAAAGCCATTATTAGGAGGGAATGTTGGATGGGCATGAGGCTGGCAGCCAAATCCCGTAAAAACAGACATCACTCTCACCGAAACTTCAAGTCTTTAGCTTGAAGCCGCCCTATGTTCCACTGGGAATGTAAAGGAATACGAAAAAATATTTCCTTGAGAAAATAAGTTCTTGCCAGGAAGTGTCTTTTTGACTAACGTATAGGAAAAATTCAAAACCTACTGATACATATGTCAAATAAGTTCAGCGTTATTTTACTTGATTATAGTTAGTTACACATTTTGACTGTTTCAGAGACTAATTGATTTCTCTTCACAATTTAGGATGGATCCAGTGGTCAACAAAATTCTGATGATCTATTCTCTATTTGTATGTTATGTGGGTGTTAGTATTTTCATCTTGTTTTTACTTTAAAGGATGTAGTGAATGCTTGGCTATGATGAATTTCACTTTAGTTATTCTTCACTCACCGGTGTTGTTGGAGAGAATTACAGAATCAATAAAGAAGACATGCTATTTCTTGAGTTTTATCTGGACAGAGGTAAGTACTCCCATTTAGGCAGAAAATTTAACTTGTTTACGATATAATCTTTGGCAGTCTGTCTCTATAAGTTTAGTTCATTGATTTGTGTCAAATGTAAGAAATTTTGCACACCTATCTCAGTGGCATCGTCATTGAACAGAGCATAGATTGACAGTCAAACCTCTCTTGACTTCAACTGCATTGACTTCTCAAAGGCCCTTTAATAGACAGCGTTGACCGAGAAGTAATTTGAAGACTGCTTCAGCACTATGGTGTTAAAAGCGAAAATTTTTATCAACCTCATTCAACAGCTGGTCAGTGAAATGACAATACCGTGTCTCAGGTGATCCACACAGAGTGGAACTTAGTCACGAAGCCTTTGAAGTGAATACAAGAGTAAGATAAGGCACCTGCCTATTATCATCGATGATATTCTTAATTGTATTTGATAGGATCCCACATATTTTGGTATTGACTGTTA